CATACAGTAGTAAACACCTACTCATTGTGGTGGTCACTAGTGTTTGTTAATTTATTTTTTTCAAGTCTACAATTTAGTCATACATATATGATAGAATTATATGTAAAATGGATTGAAATTTAGGTTTGAAAGTTTTTGACAAAAAATAATAATTAAAAAAAAAAATCGATACCTAAATCTACTCCAAATAAACTTAAATTTGAAACATAAATTTTATGTATCATAACAAAACAAATCATAATCGTCTTGTGAATATAACAATCTAACAAACCCATGTAACACTTTTTCAATTTTTCCATATATGTCACATATTAAATATGCTAAAGTTTCAGTTATATATGTCTGGATACGAAGCAAAGGCATGAAAAAGAAACATATTCTTCCACCTTAAGGTTATCTGATATTGTGTATTCATTAGAAAAAAAATATAAGACGGGTATTACTTAAATGACACTGACTTATATAGATTATATAGATGAAAGGCTGCTACGAGAGCAGCGGACCCTAAACCCTAGCAGCAGCCATATCTGCACACATCTCTCCCCAGCCTTTGGTTGTGGGAGAGACAAACGTTAATCCTAATCAACAAACATCCTTTGCTACTCGATTACCCACAAATCAAGCTGTCCAAAATTTGACAAAAAATCAGTTGAAACAGATTCAATATGTACATGGAGAGCCTACAATTCAATTCACAAAGGGAGAACGCCAGGTTTTCGCACAGGAAGAAGGATTACATCAAACTGTAATTATTAAGTTCTCATCCGATATACTAGAAGTGAAGGATTTGCGAACAATTTTACCTAAACACTTGGGCATTAAAGGAAACTGTTTAGTTGGTTTACTTGCTCGTAGACATATTCTACTAAGGATAGACCAATATGAAGATTATGTGGTTACTCTATCAAAATCGGTAAGCTTTTTGTCTTTTCATGGACAACAACATCTTTATAGGGTATTTCCTTGGACAATAGTTTTCAATTCAAGAGAAGAATCTTCAATGGCCGCGGTGTGGATTTCGCTGCCTCGACTATCACTAGATTTATTTGCCAAGAGATCCTTGTTGTTGATGGCATCAGTGGTTGGAAGGCCAATAGCTATTGACAAGGCAAGGCAACACAAGACAAGGCCTAGCACTGCTAGGGTGAAGGTGATACTCGATCTTATGGACAAGCTGCCTAAGAGGATGCACGCGTCTCCAGTATTTGAACGAGCAGACCGATAAGATTCAAGAGGTTTTTCAGGAATTTGTTTATGATAATTTACCTTTATATTGTAACCATTGTAAGCATCAAGGTCACGATGAAAACGGTTGTCGATTGATTTTGAAAAATAAATCAAGATAACAATCGCAAAGATAATGGAGTGGTTGGAGATGAACAATTCAATGGTGAGAAATTTCAAGGTGATTTGCGATAAATTTTAAATGAGAAGAGGGGACTAGCAAACATAGATCAAAGTATTGATGATAATATTCGAGTTGGAGATGCAAATAATGATGAAATAACAATGGTGGAAGCCATTAAAAATAATGGAGATCTAGTTGTAGATACTTGTGTTCAATATGATACTCTTAATACTATAGTTACACTAAATTGCACCTTAACTACGGTCTCGCAGACTTTGGTTTTGGGTGCAAAAGGAAGGTGTTACTAGTGATTCGGTGGTTCCTATGATTAATTTGGGGTCTGGTCTAGTTTCGAATCCTAAACTACGTACCTACTGCTGGTATTTTATCTAGGAAAGATCCTAGTTTAGCCATGATTGAAGATTCTGGCTAGGCTAACAAGGTGTAGCAGTGTGAAGAGAATTTGGATCAAATTTTTGAATTTGGTGATACATGTGATCATGACTTCACTTTGAAGGACAATGATCATGGAGGCTGGACTGAAGTACCAAGCAAACCGTTTTCTCCAGGTAATACCAAACTACAACACCTAGATTGCACTAACCCAACACGCAAGGAGCAAACGATAAATTTTGAAGATAAAGTATCAAGTAAGGTTGTGTGCTCTAACACCTTTGATGCCTTAATGATCAATTCCTATCAAGAGCTCCATGCATTATCCACTCCAATTCTTCAATTTTCTAATCCATAAACTACTAGAATAATCAAGGAGTCACATGCCGCAATGTTGAATAAAGAAAACACAATGGTCAAACAACCTATGGCAACAATCAACACCTCGAATCATGATGTTCCTAATTCTCCATCATTGGAGTCGCTTGGAGAGCAAATATTTGGACAACAGTCAATCTCCAAAAGGAATGACAAGAGTTTGCGGAAGGAAACAAGTGATTCTAGATAGGCAGATTTAGTTGAGAAAAAATAACATATTTCTGCACCTACAAGGAGTAAGTTAAGTCCTCAAGCACCCATATTTGTGCCTTCAAGTAAGGCAAATCCATCTATGGCAATGACAATTGATGACTCCAAAAAGATCTTGACCATTACCACCAAGGTATTGGAAAAAAGCCATGAGCCAGAAGCTGGTGTTTCAAGACTTAGTCCAACTACAACTTATGATAGTGACTTGGGCAGTGAAAAGTTTGATGAAGATGATGAGGATGAGATGCTAGGCAACAATGGAGATCTCTCGCCTAGGCAACAAAGAAGTGGAAGAAACAAAAACAAAAAAAAGACACATGAAAGGCAACATAGTTAAGATGGTAAGGTGATTGAGGAATTTATTCCAAGGCACCTACCAATGCGACTGGCAAAGCAAAATCATATGACAGTTTCAACAATAACACGATCCAGTAAATCCAAAAAGAAGTGAAGAACTATCAAGTTTTGTTAGACAAATTTGACGAAGAAGACAAGAGGGAAATACTCCAGGTTACTTTACATGGGCAATTCATCTCTTTTAATTTTTACATATATAATATGAAGATTGAGGTTGATAACTCAGCTTTATTCTTAGATTTTTTATTTTTGCATTACATAAGCATCCTCATTTGTAGTATCCTCATTTGTAGTATCATCACATAGTGTATTATAAATTCTATGATGATCATAGAATATCTAGTTTTCTCTAGCTCTTATTTTCTTCATGCTTGTTAATTAGTAGAGGTTTGTTACCTCATTAAGATTAGTAAGGTAAGGTCAAGCCCCCCTTGCTTGTACTTTTGTCATTGAGATCCTCTTCTCTTTATTAATAAATAAAAGTAGCCCTAGGCACACATTGCCTAGCGAAATTGCTTTTAAAAAAGCTTAAATGACACGATCAAAATAGGACAACCCATAAAATTTACAAATATTTGTACACTTCACCGAAAAAGATATGGAATTCTTACGTAACTATATATAGACAACAAAAAAATTTCAACAAAAATGGTTATATGTAATGTATCTATATTGTATAAAAATGTATATTTGTGTATATATAATAAATAAATGTGTATAAATAAGGTATAACTATGTATCAAAGATGTATATAGATCCATATATGTTGTTTATATGATATTATACACTGCAGGCTAATTTTTTTCCAACCTCGATCAACTCAAATCTCCCGTAAAAAGTACCAAATTTTGGATATGATCTTCTCTCAGCAATGTTTCGAGTCTTTGAGATATTATTTACTTGAAACGATGTATGTTTGCGACACATTGAAATTTAACATCGAGCTTTGAAGAAACTTTAATCGCTAATGGAGTCTTCAAATTCAGATCAACTCAAAATCTCCTTCAAACAATCCTAAATTTTATATATGAGCTTTTCTCCATATTTTGAATTTTTTGATATATTATTCATTTGAAACAATTCATGTTGGTGAAACATCAAATTTTGAAGAAATTTTAATAATTAAACATGGAATCTTAATTTTTCTTTCACGTTTTCAGTCACATAGAAGAAGGAAAGCAGCAAACAAGAAGAGGAAGGAGGAAGGAAGAGAAAAACAAAATCCTTTAATGGTTGAAAGAAGAAGAAAGTTACACTTCGTTGGAATAGAAAAGTGGAGGAATGACCATTTTGGACGATAAGTGATAATTAAGTTATTTTAGGTAGATAATTTGATGAAAAAATTATTTGAGCGAGTATTTTTTAATAAATAATTACTAATTTTAGCAATATTTTTTATTTATTAAATTATTTATACTAATATACAACAATACTATAATAAATCTGTATTATGTATTAAAAATAAATTATGCATGAAATATAGATGTATTATAAGTGTTTTAAAATATATTATGTTGGTTTGATAAGAAGTTGACACAATGTATTATAAGTGTATTAAAATGTGTGATAAATGTGTTATACATAATTAAAAGTTGTACTATATGTGTTTTATAAACTGTTTTTCTATAATATATATTAAAACTGTATTATAAGTGTTCAAATGAAAAATATGTAGATAAATATTTTCTTAATACAACATATTTAGGTAAGTTTCTCATTTTTGATCCAATAGATATTTTGTCGAGGAACTTACATAAATTTCACTAGTTTATGAGTTGATTACTTAGATACACTCTAGTTTGCAATATTGCGTAACTTATCAAATTTTTGTGCGTCCAGATACATCCAATTTCATGTATCTTGAGATAAATGAGGTCAAAATTAAGTGTAATTTGTTATAGATAGATTATATCCAAGTGAATTCGCATGTGTTTGGAATACATAACAAATCTTGCTCGCCTCCCTCGCTTCTTTCCCATCTCGTTCACCATTCTCTAATGTATCTCGTATCCCAGATACATGTGAATCCCACAAGATATATACAGATACATGTATCTACTATGTATCTAATGTGATTCATATATATTTGAGATACATAACGAATCTCGATCACCTCTCTTCCTATTCTAGTGTATTTGGTAACAAAAATATATGTATCTAAATGTATTTTTCTGAATATACTAATTAATAGTAAGATACGTAATATTTTAAAAATATAAATAATAATAAGTATATATATGATAATGAAGTAAGTGTAATTAGGTAATTTTTCCATATTAGTCCAACAAAGCCCAATCACGATAAACCCAAAGAATACTCCTCGACCGCCCAGTGCACTCTGGGCTCCCTTTTTTGTTTCGTTGTTTTTATTTCGTTTTTGTCTGAAAAAAGTGAGCTTGATGCAATCAGAATTCAGAAGTCGTTAAACGGATTTCCACTTATCAAACTTGTTCCTATGGCTGTTTTCAGTCCCAGTTGTTCTTCTACTTCCCCACTTCTCTCCTTCAAAAACAACATCTCTTTCTTCCCTTCACATCGCCGTTGTTTTCCCGGAGTTCGCTGCACTTTTACAGTGAAAGCCACCGTCAGCGTCGAGTCTCCGTCGTCTTCCGCCACCGACCGCTGTGATGACTCGCCCAAGGTTTTACTTGAAGTCCGAGACCTATGCGCTGTCATAGTCGAGTCAAAGCAGCAAATTCTCAATGGTGTTAACCTCACTGTCCGCCAAGGCGAGGTATTCAATCTCCTTTCCATGAATTAGATAATTCTATCTGAGTTATTACTTACAATTGATGGTTCTGCTTGATCATTCTACCTAAGTTGTAGCTATATTTGATGATCAATTTACCCAAGTTTTTAGCTATATTTCATAATTGTACCCAAATTTTTAGCTATATTTGGTAGTTCTAGAGGTATTTCATAGTTCTATTGAAGTTTAGTTATAATCGATAGCTATACCGAAGCTATTAAGTATTTGTGTGTTCTGAATTAGTAGGAATATAGTTTGTTGTATTTTTTGATAATTCAATTTAGTGATTTATGTTGGTCTTTCTGTGGAAGGAAAAATGGGAGGAAATTTGTGTATATTTAAGAAATTGGTAGTACTGGAAAAGTGGTTAGATGAATTCGACATTAACAACAATTTTCTTTGTTTTCTTATATTGGAAAAATTGAGCAATAAACGGGATAAAAGGTCAATTGGACAAGATTAACAACAAATTTTCTTCTTTTTTCTTATTCAGTTTTGTTCCAGTTTTTGTTATTTTTCCAATGAGATGAGGCTTACCCATCCCTTTTGGCATGGACATAAGCAGAATATAATTGTCCAAGTTCTGACTATGTATTGTATTGAAACAGGTTCATGCTGTAATGGGTAAGAATGGTTCTGGAAAGAGCACCTTTGCTAAGGTGAGTGCTTTTTTCTTGTTTTCCTTGGATCTGTTATTGTGCTTTTAGAATTTTCTTATGTTAGAATCCTTGTAGAAATTCTAGAATGTGTAATTAAAATAGGTAGCTTAACTTACTCCTATTGTAATTAAGTTTAATTTCCTTTTTCTAGGACATGTAAACATATTATTTAAACTTCAATAGTTTGAGGGAATAATCAAGGCGAGTTCTCTCTTATATAAACCCCAATAGTGTAGAAGCAGAATATTGAGATATGTCGGTGGCGACATGTGAACTAATGTGGATCAAGCAACTACCAATGAGTTAAATCTTGGAGAGGTTAAGGAAATGGAACTTGTGTGTGAAAATGAAGTTGCACTTCACATTGCATTGGATCTAGTGTTTCACACGAGGACCAAACACTTAGAGATTGATTGTCATTTTGTCTTGTCTGAGAGAAAGACGTCGTCACGAGGTTTGTGCGGTCAAATGACTGACTAGCTTGCAGATATATTCTTCAAGTCCCTGGCTGGTCCCAAAACAGATTATATATGTAGCAAGCGTGGGACATATAGTTTGTATTCACCAGTTTGAGGGGAGTGTTAGAATCCTTGTAGAATTGTATATTCTAGAATGTGTAATTATAGTACATAGCTTCATTTATTCCTATTGTAATTAGGTTTTGGTTTCTTTTTCTTTTTAGGACATGAAACATAGTAATTTAAGCCCCAATAGCTCTTATTTTCTCTCCTGTTTCACACTTACCTAGTTCTTTGCACATCTGGAATAGTATTATTGATTATTGTAATTGATCTTGGTTCTTGGGTGATGTTATTTGTGCATATGCCTTTTCCTTGGCTATTCTATGTTTCTTCGTCTCCCTTATGTTTTATAACAAAAGACAAATTCCTTTTTATTCTTTTGAATGATCTCTTTGGTTGGTCATCTCATTTTGTTTTACTTGGTCTTTAGTAGGCATTTGGACAATATTTGGTTGAATTGGAAATAAAAAGTTTTTGAAGTTCAAGCTGAAAAGGGGTATTTGGAAGTTGATTATATTAGGACATGAGTTTCTGGTGGAAAAAATTAATAATTTGTGAGTGAACCATTATTCACATGAAATACTCAAAACTAGTTTCTCAACTTCACCTTCTCTTTTTTCTCCATATGTCTCCTTGCAAACTCACCTGTGGTCATGATTGCTCTTTGCAATGAAATGTTGTTCCTTGATCAGAACTTTTGGTATGGACTGAATTGTTTCAGGTTCTTGTTGGGCATCCAGATTATGAAATTACAGGAGGCACCGTGTCATTTAAAGGTGAGAATCTACTTGAGATGGAACCTGAGGAAAGATCTCTTGCTGGTCTTTTTATGAGCTTCCAGTCCCCAGTTGCCATACCTGGAGTAAGCAATATTGACTTTCTTAACATGGCGTATAATGCTCAAAGGAGGAAACTTGGACTGCCAGAGCTGGGACCAATTGAGGTATCTACATGTGACCTTCATATTTAATGAATATTAGCGTCCATCATAGGGAATTTTATGCCTTATTGTTTCTCAACTAGAAGAGGCAGATAGGTATTTCCAATCTTGGATAATTCTCATGTGCAGTTTTATGGGTACATTGCCCCGAAGCTTGAACTTGTCAACATGAAGATAGACTTCTTGAACAGAAATGTAAATGAAGGATTCAGTGGTGGAGAAAGGAAGCGCAATGAGATTCTGCAACTAGCGGTATTCCATGCTCCCTATCTTTCCTTCTCCAATCATGACCATGACATCAATGTTTATGTTTCAAGGCTGCTGTTTAATGAGTATCCAATATGATCTAGGGTCTATGTTAACCAATTTTTGAGTTACTGTATGATTATGACTTCTTTAATATACTTCTCAAGTTGGTCTTTACTTTTCAGATCGGAATATTGAAATTATAGAACTTAATTTAGTTTTATATCGAAGGAAGAGATGGTTTCTGTTCTTAACTATAATAAGCATTTGACTGAAAGTCACAAGTGTCTGAGCTTTCTAAAGTTTCTTGTTTGATACAGGTTCTCGGGGCTGACTTGGCAATACTGGATGAGATTGATTCTGGTTTAGATGTTGACGCACTTCGAGACGTAGCAAAGGCAGTAAATGGACTTCTATCGCCAAAGAATTCGGTGTTGATGATTACGCATTACTTACGATTATTAGAATTCATCAAGCCGACGTATATCCATATCATGGTAAGCAAGTGCCTACTCAACTAAGCTGAACAGAAAAGAAACAGATTGACCACTAGATTTGGTTTGTGATAAGAAGTAAAGTAGAAGAGGGTTGATACCTTACCAGCATTAGGAAATAATGAACTATTCTTTTTCACTTAGAAGTTTCTAAAAGCAAGTAACACTACATTCTAGATTTGCCAAATATAATTTGTTTCTTCATATGATCTGCATTCTGATTCTGTAATCTTCCTCATTTAGGTAGCTTGAATGGTACACTAAGGATGTAGCTGTATTATGATGCTCATCTGTTATATTATATAGATAAGATTTTTGTAGTATTTATCTTCTTTAAGCTTTCCCCACTGTTGGTACGGTTTTGATAGTACTCATGATTTGGATTGTTTATTAGAGTCTTCATTGCTTGGTTAATCAGGGTTTGACTTTTGTTTGCTTTGTCTTTTGCCCTTGTCACTAAATAGTAAAGGATGCCGAAGAATATCAAATCCCTTTACGGAATAGTTTTTGTGTTATACGTGTATTTTGGCTCTACCTTTTCATTATTTTAGTTGTCACTAGTTAACATCTGAATTCCATTTGCAGGAGAAAGGGAGAATCGTGAAGACTGGAGACATATCAATAGCTAAAGTTCTGGAGAAAGAAGGCTACAAAGCAATTTCTGGCCCATAGAGCTGCAATGAATGATGATGTTTTTTTCGTTGTCTCATCAGCTACTAGAGGAAATATTTCTACTGCTCCAACATTATTTAAGGAAGTGGCAATAAGTGATGCTTCCACTTTTCTCATCAAATGATTCAAAAATATCAGTGCTCAATTGTCTCGAGTTGTAAGAGTAAGGATAAACTATGTCCTCTGATGTAGACAAAATGAGGAATTTTGATGACATGGTGGGGATTGAGTCATATACTTGTATTTTATCCTGTCTTTTTATTCCTTTTTTCTAAAATCACAGATTAGTTTTGTGTCGGGAAATATAGTAACTTAGTTGGTTGGTTATTGCCTAAACTCATGGTGAGGAGGGTTCGATTCTCCACCTTTGTTTTAAATGATCCTGATGTTCTACTTTATGAGGTGCGGCTTTTTACCTCTTAATTCAGTTGGGGGCAATTGCTTTCTTGGTCCCTTAGTTACTAAAAATTTCTTATTTGGTTCTATTGATTGTCGAAGGACCACCAATCAAAGCATATATCTTTGATAATGTATTCTAAACTGAATCAAAGCAAACCGATCGATGTATTTTCTCTTTTTTGCTCAAAAGTATTCATAAGAAATTTAAAAAAACACTAATTAGTTCTTATGATCAAATGTAATTCCAATTCAAATATCATTTTTTACTTTATAAATAAAATTTATTTTTTCATATTTTATAATGAAACATGATCAAACGACTATAACATTTTTATTATCAGACACTAATCTTTCAAATGAAAGGGAAAAAAATCAAATAATTTTGACGACCAACAACAACAACAACAAAATACTCACCGTGAACTTGTAGAGCTCGAGAGACTGTTTTTAAAATACTCAGCACAATAATTTTGATGACCAAATGGTCCATGATGGGAGCTCGAGAGATTGTTTTCAAAATACTCGACACAATAATTTTGATGACCAAACGGTCCTTGCTAAACGCTGTGTAAGCTCGAACCTATCCACGTCATTTTAGTCCCCTGTCCTCTTTGCTTATCGAAGTTGAGAGAGGTGAAGTGGTAAAATCTGATCGGCGCCGGAGTCAGAGTCGAAGATGAAAGTTCTTCACATCCCATGCTTAGATGACAACTATTCCTATATGTATGTTATATATCAGAATATCTATTTCGATTTTCTAATTCATATCAGATTTATTTATTAGGTTTTTTTTTTCTATTTCCATGAATTTCGGCAGGATCATCGATGAAACTACTAAGGAAGCTGCGGTGGTAGACCCTGTCGAGCCGCACAAGGTCCTCAGAGTTGCTCAAGAGAACGAAGTTGACCTCAAGTTTGTTCTCACCACTCATCACCACTGGTCTGTTCACACTTCTAATTAAGTCTTTCTTAGTAGGCATCTGAACAATATTTTAGTTAAAAGTTGAGCAAAACAGTGCTGGAAGCTGAAATTGGATTATTTTTTTTTGTGTAATTCATAAGTTGTGTTTGTTCATTAAATGAACTTGAAAATATATGTTGAGAGTTGAAGGTTTGAAACCAATAATTCAATTCAGATATACCTTTAGGCTAGTATTTATGTATCTCAGTCATCATATAAATTTTGAAGTTTAATATGTGCAAGTAATTGCTGAAATAGTATTCATGCCCAAGAAGCTGTTATCGACATGGTCAAATTATTCTAAGGGGATGATCAATTCAGTCTGATGTATGTTGAATTATCCTGAAATTGCTATTTTTCAAGTTTATAAATAAGGGCACGTGAGTTTTTGAACCTGGCCTACTGTTGGACGACTGTTGGCAAAGGCAAGCTTATGACATATTGTCTTGTAATTAGGGAAAAAGATTTGTGGGACCGTTTGATCATGCTTGCTTTTCATATGGCATCAGTTTTCCTTAAAAACAGGTTACTTTTGTTTCTTCAGATCAGTATAGGGATAAATTTGGGCATTCTGTGAACTTGAAATCCCAAATTCTCCTTGTTTCAGCCCAAGAAAGATATTCTTTGCCAGCTCTCTTGAAAAAAATGTTGATAATAGACGCCCTCTTCATCACATTTATATGACGTTGTTGACACGCCATAGAGCTTTTAAGATGCTCATTGACTTATATGCTTTATTAGTGCTGGTAGAAGAAATTATTATAATATAATGGTTGAAAGTTTGTTCGATAGAGATAACATCACATCTAAGTTAAAATTTGAATAGTTTAACAAAATAATTGAATCCTTGAAAGTTGTGAAAAATTGAATACTATCAAACATTTTGGGACATCCAAAAACGGAGAGTGTGTCATGCAAATTAGGAAAGATAGTATAATAGTTTATAACTTATAGTTTGATAAATCAAGTAGAAAGAAATAAGATACGGATCGAAACAATATCTAGCTATAATAATATATTTGCTATTACAACTAAGATGGACACAATTACGTGAGAGTGAAAAGTTGGAAATTGCAAATTTGCAGAGGGCCTCCTCTTGAGGTGTTGAATGTAGTGCAAAGGAGAATATTCCTAGAGTATTGGGGGGATCAGAAGACAGATTGTCTTGAAAAGCAAAGAAGCAGTTTTTGGGGGGTCAATTGGGACTTGGGAACTGAATCTTTCGAGGATAATATCCTATGAACCAATGATGTTTGATCTGTGCTATTTTTTTGGGTGGTGGTGGTGGATTGGTAGTTGGTTTGTTTGAGGAGGGTATGTGATTGTAACTTAGCTGCTTTTAGGACGAGCGCTATCTAATTAAAATTAATTCATTTCTGATGGTTTGTCATTTACACTGTTTTCTTCTTTTTCTTTCCATTTGTTCTCTGGACGTTATTTAGTTTACACATATTCCAAGAGGGGAAAACAATTCACAAGCTTGATCCATGGCTAGCATAGGTCGAACAGCACACCATGGGAACACATGTTTTAGGACAAACGAATCAACTGTAGGATATCTTACATTTATTTGTCTGCATATGCTGTAAACATCTATTTAGGTACATCTGTGGGATCTGCATTTATCTGATCTTGATGAACAACAACACATTTCAGGGATCATGCTGGAGGAAATGATAAAATAAAGCAGCTCGTTCCTGGAATAAAAATTTATGGTGGATCAGTTGATAATGTGAGGGGTTGTACAGATAAAGTTGAAAATGGTGACAGGATATCCCTTGGTGTTGACATCAGCATCTTATCTCTTCACACACCAGCGTAAGTGATTTAAAGTTTGTTTACTTTCTCCTTCCGTTACTAATTTTTAAATTTGATGTTCTTAATACTGATTTTTGTCAAGGACTCAACTGCTTTCATTATTTGGATACTCTTGTTTGATGACCCTGCCTCTTGATACTAATGAAAAAAAGCTTTACTCATTTTGGAAATATCTCTTGCATAGCAGTAGGCTCGATGGATCTTATGAAACATACCATTATAATCTCTGGAACGTAATAGACTCATATAGGGAATTGTATCTCATCTCGTTATCCTACACGATCATTTCTCACAAAATTAATTGCTTTTTTTTCCTCTCAGCCACACTAAAGGTCATATAAGCTACTATGTTACTGACAAAGAGGGAGAGGATCCTGCTGTTTTTACTGGGGATACATTGGTGAGTGGAGGTTTCTACCTCTAAATCTTTTAGGAGCACGTAGAACTTAATTAATAGTTGGTTCCTGTACAGGGTACATCTTGCTTTGTGGCGAGAGAAGCTTTCTACTTTAAGAATTTGTTTAATAGAATTATACTTCTTGTGCAACTAGCACATACTTTTTGCTCATTGTTTCCTGTTTTTAGGTCATTCATGGTGCACCTATTCATTTTACCTATATTATTGCTCTCATCATTCTATTGCTGCTGTTTGTTTATAGTTTGTTATTTCAGGAAGGGTGTTCCTTCCTGATGAAAATCATTGCAGAAAGACTGTTATTTTGCTGCGACTACTGTCTCGAAAAACCTGGTTCTTTGAGTAATTATGCAAGAAGCTGAAGTGCGGTATAATAAATAAACATAAGGATTTTTACGTGGAAAACTCCTTGCTCAAGAGAGGCAAAAACCATGACCTATCTCTCTATAGGATTTTCCTCAACTCTTCACTAAAACTAGAGTAATTGAAGGTTACAATTTTTTTTGTACACCTAAGGAATTGTTCCCAACAGTACCTACCCCTCTCCCCAACAATACTCTCAATTGCTGGCTCTGTCGCCTGACTGTTCAATGACTCTACCCAGTCAATGAAGTCCCTTACAATACAAAACAACACCTACTACAATCAACTAAGAATGTAATCAATTCTCAAGGTTTTCTTTTTTGTGCTCATGGAATAGCTTCTTCTTGGTGACCCAAAACCATCTCCTGTTTTGCTCAATCTGAGCAGTTCCCCTGCAGTGTTGCCAACTTCACCAGTTCCTTTTGGAGATCTGTTAAGGACCTGGTTCTTGTACTTCTCCCGTCATTCTTCTTGTGCATAGATTGTCATTTGTACAATGATTGTCAATCATCAAAACAACATATGATCTTGAATGTATATTCAGAGATCAAGGTAGCTCCTGGCATCTTAACACATGGATAGTGTTCAATTGATGAGAGTTTTCTTTTCTTCCAGTTTTGTTCTAAGGGGAAAATTGAACAGGTTATGGAGATAAAGAAAGGAACTTGAAATGCTTTGAGCGTAAGGCAGAGCGAATGAGGAAGAATAGTTCAACTGCCTCTGGTTACTCCATTTTGGTGTTAAATGAATATATAGAGAATGCTGAAAATCTCATACTTAATTAGCTTCCTACAGGATTCAATGGGAATTTGTATCTGCTTTTGCTGTACACACTGCAACAGAGTTAATGAAATTTCATCTTTTATTGAATAAGAATTTAATGAAAGTGATAAAGTTTTCTGGTGCATAAACCAGAGAAGAGGTTTCTTGAACACCCTTCATATGCAGAGTCAACTTAAAGACACTCAGGTATATCCATGTTTTCAAAATAAATCAAAATCAAAAGAGTACCTGTCGATTAATAAGATGAGGTCCTCGATTCCCCTTGCTGGCGAGTTATTTTTCCCACCGAGGAAAACACTTCCTCTTCATCATCAATATCCCTACCATGCTTTATTTACAATTTCACTCTCATTCCTCTGTCCTCTTTGTATGTGCAGCTCTAAATCTTTAGGCTGATACCTTGCAATCACAATGCCAAATCCATCTGCTTCTTCTTTCTTTTTTTCTGGTAAATATCTCTCAACTTTGAGGTGTTACAATAGATAACACAAGAATCTTTAGATTCAACCTCCTTAAGTGGTTCACTATAACTTTGCTCAAGATTTAGAAAGGAAGTGGTGGGTTGAACCCAATTTGGTTCACTGTCTACCTCTTCCAGCTTTCTCTGCTCTATCTTGGAATATAGGTGTATGGATTTGAAAAGGTTTTATTTTGGGAGAAGATGATAGGAACTCTAACCACTCCATGC